GAGCGATGTGACCACCGATAGCCGCCGACGAAATGCCTGCTATTTGGTAGAAAGCGATAGCCACTGCTGGAGCCGGCGTCAATGGCTGACAGCCTGCCCGGACCGAGCGAAGAAAGCGCGACCACTCGAGTCTGCATCTGCCCAGCGGACTCCATCTGTCCTGCCGAGGACGATCTGGGCCAAGTCTGCCCGGCTGCGAGCGAAGTTGGTTATCTGTCCAGCAGCCGTCACTCAACACGTCATTCTATCGCCTACGGCGTCCCAGCAAGATCATGCAATCGCCATAACAATGTCAGTCATCCCTCTCAGAGGTTAGAGTCTGCATCCAGCGTTGGCTCAGCGCTGACAGGGTCGACACTGCCTCCGCCGCATAGATCGACAGCAGCGCCACTGGCTGGGCTGCCCTCGTGTGTACCAAGTTGCTCCAATACCCGCTTCTTGCAGAGTCATTGTCGGCCCTCGCGGTCACGACCTACTGGCCGGCCACCGGTGGCGTCGTGCCGGCGCCGTGCCGGACCGACGCCGGCGCGACCTTCCTGCCGCCTGTCGGCTCGTCCGCTCTGTCGCGGCGGTGCCGGGCTCCATCCCTCACACCCGGCCGCCCCTGACTTGGCGGGCGGGACGAGCCGCGCGGCCGGGACGCAGGGCCGGCGCGCGCCGCCCGGGGGACGGCTCTTCCGCGTCCCGGCCGTGCCGCTGACCCCACGGCCGCGCGCCGCGCGCCGCGCACCGCCCGATCGCCGCCGGCCGCCGAGTACCGTTTTTTAGGACTGCTGGCTATGGGCTGAACATACCGCGCGCTGCGCGCCGCCGCCGCGCCGCCGAACGGCCAGTCGGAGGTGAGGCGAGCCACGACGCCGTGCTGCAAACCCGCTGCCCCAGCGACCCAGATGTGGCGGAGCCACAGCACTGCGTCGAGGCGGCTGCTGCGCCAGGCCAGCATCAGAAGGTGGACGATGCCACCGAATGGCACCCAGATCACCTTCATGCTGATGGACATGCGGCTGCATGAGCCGCTGCGAGCCGTGAGCGCAGCTCTGTCGCAGTGGGGCAAACGGCGCGAGGCCGGTGGGCGTTCGCCGGACGGCCGGACCGGCCGCAGAGGAGCGGTGCCGCTTCTTCGCCGGCGAGCGCCGCCGCCAGGTGCCGCTCGCAGTGCCCGGCCGCGTGACGATGACACAGTGAAAGGCCACCAGATGGCCGGCAGCGACGCTCGCCCGGTAGAAGCGGGACGCGACCACAAGCAGGCCCTGCTAAATATCAAATACAATGTGAAGCGACTCAGCTCTCAGCGAGCGGTAAGCCGCGAGCGGGGTGAAGACGGCGCAGGTCACGCTTCGGCCGGAGAGGCGGCGGCGGTCGTGGATCCGAGCATCGGACGGCGCGTAGCGGCCGGCGCGCAGTCCCCGCGCCGCCGAGCGCCGCGCTCGCCCGGCGACCGAGCAGCCGGCGCTGCTGCTGATCCAGAGCTCGCCCGTTCGGACGACAGCCCGGCCGGCCGGTGAAACGCGGCGGGCGCGAGTGGCGCGTCGTCGGGGCTGGCGCGCCTGAGCGTGGGATCTGGCACGGCGGCGGCGGCGGCAGCGGCGCCGCCGCCGCCCGATCGCCCCGGCCGCATCCCGGCGGCGCGGCGGCCGGCGGCCACGCCAGATGGCGGCCGGCTGAGCACTTGTCGCCTCAATGAGCGACAGCCGGTAAAGGTGCGGGCGCCGTGGAGAGACGCGCTCGGCAGCCGGCGCACACCGAACGGGCTGCACAGCGCATGGCATACGCATAGCAGCGTCGCTGAGGTGGAAGCGCGCGCTAGGCAGCTGGGTACATAGTGGAAGAAATCACGGCTAAACAAAATGAGCCGACGGCACTATTAAGTCGGCGAAACAATTTACGGCGATTGGAAATGCATGCACCAACTCAACTGGACTTAATATGGTGAAAGTTTAACAAAACTAACACGAATCAGATTATGGTCAGAATATCGATGAACAAACTGACAAAACACCACGGGGACACGCCCGCAGCCTTGACCCGCATGTAAGCTGGCTGAGATGCGAAAGTAAAAAGGCGACAGGGGGTGGCAAGCTTGCCCTGAAAGGAATCTTAATGCACGACCCTGACAACATGCACGGTGCGTCCACACAACAACGTGGATGGGAACCACTAAAAAGCTCCACGCATCAAAAAAGCGCAAGGCCAGCCATTATCATTACGAAGGCAGCGTTTGCCCGCAATGGCGGCCACAGCTCATCTGCGGGGCCCTTCTCTGAAGGCCATTGTCGCAAGCCGCCGGTTTTAAAAGATACTTCGGCGCGTAATGGACCGCCGGCGTCACGCGTCTGGGGAAATCTGCGCAAATAACTTTAACCGACCGGCGACTAATATAGCGGCGTGTCTGATCGACGTGTACACGGCGGCAATAAAACTAAAAGGGTGTGCGGTCGTTTTGGACGAAAGAGAAACCATCAATTAAGCCATTTGTGAAAAGAGGAGGACGGCAGGAGCTAGGGTGTAATCAGGTCTCTGAGATTGTGGGACAAATCAGAACTGAAGAAGTCGGGAGTAGTGTGGAGGGGAGGGGGTACACAGCCTGACCTGAAAATGGCATTTTGAATGGGAAAAACGTAAAAACCGTGCATTCCAAGGGCGTAATTGGAGGGGACAAAACGCCGTTTTTTTTATAATTCAGGACAATGTCCCGGGCCCCATTTCCTACGGACCAGCCTTGCCCATGCGGACGATTTAGTTCCAGATTCACCATTTCGGTCTTCCACGCAAAACCCTCCGAGCAAGATAAAAATGCAACATGAACGGTGTGTAGAGTTTAAAGCCCACGATTCAACGCCATTCTCCCGTACAATGGGCGCTAAAACGCAACGACAGCGGAAGCGGAGGAGGGGAACGGACCCATGTTTGGAAAATCGACTTTAATCATACGAAGTTGTATGGGGGAAAAGAGGCGTAAATATTGTCTCACCATTTCTTGACAGGATCTACGATCACTGCTAGTAGGCATCCGCCAAAACTGGAGAGGCGCCACCGACTGATAACTGATTCGAGAGGATGGGGAGAATGGGGGGGGGGGGGATGGCGGGCGGGACGGAGCGTACTCTATGCCCATTCATTTCATGCTCCGCTGTGGGTGTAAAAATTGGGGTAAACGTCCCTGTCATCGTCCAAGTACAGCGAGGTGTGCATCCAGGGCCGACGCTCTCCCAAAATGATCGGGGACAGTTCGGCATTCGGTCTGCGCTTTCTGAACTTTCTGACGCATTCTTAGCATGCGTCGCCTACGGCCTCCTGCTACTGCACTCATCACAGGGACAGCCACGCTACGGCACATCTAAACAAGCAAGAACTCCGGCGTGGGGAACCCACCGAGCCACGCACTTTAGCAGAAGTGACCCAAAAGGTGTTACACGCGTCCATGAATATCTTGTCCTAGTACAAAACATTTTAATGGCAGCGCATCCACGCTCGAGACGATTTGTTGGAAAAGGTTGTCATCCGATCGAATACCATGTCGATGACCAGGGGGTGGCCAGAAATCGCCGCTTGGGGACTGACCACCCATCTGATGACCCAAGTACCAACTCTGGGGGAGACTAATGGTTTTGAGGCCAAAGCATTGAAGCCATTGACGGTGTGGATGTCGCCAGCGGGGAGTGGCTTCGGAGCAGGCAATGCTTCCCACCATTGGCGACCCACGTGATAAAGCAACGCCTCCCCATTTTGAGATGCCGCCATCATAGCAAAAAACTGAAAGTTTTTCACTCCATTGGCAATCAGATAAAAATGGACATGTTCTCAGCGCCCGTCCAATAACTACGCAGCGCGATATGGAAGGGAAAACGCTCTACACCCTCAGTCGTGGAGGTGGCTGGGGCGAAGGGGCCCGTAGGTGTAGGCAAGCGTTTCGCCAAAGAGGAAGAAACTTGCCTGAGGGGCTCCATGGTTTAACATAGCGCTTTCGACTTATCTTTCTTGTCGGACTTAGCCCACCAGTTTTACAAAGAGACCCACCACAAATCAGTAAATGACCATCCAGGGACCACCAATATAGGGGCCATCCAGGGACCGCCGATCCAGGGACCTCAGACGACTTCGGAAATTTGTTAAAAGCTCAGTCATCATTCTCGCATTTAAAATTCTCACGGAGCAACACAAAAACAAGCATTTTTACGTGCTATTCAGGCGTCTCGAAGGGACTCAACGGGTCCTCCAGCTCTCCGGGACCGGAAAAGCGACCGACTCTCCAGCCTTTGAGTTTGGCTACGTCTTTGAGCGCAGGACCACCACAAAGATGGGTTGGCAAAATTTCATTCCATGAATAACGGTTTGTGTCCTCTGTTGCTACTCATTGGTATGTAACTGACAAACATCCAGGCCAGATGGAGACTTGACATGTTCTTAGCGTTATTTTCGTGATGGGCCAGGCATCACGATCTTTTGCGGGTTCTAAAAGTGCAAGGGATGGCCACATAAATCATGATGCGGCAACATTGTCTCGTGCGCGCCTTCAAATAGCTTATCTGTCTTGCCGGCCAACAAATTACGTAACTATCTGTCCTACCTGACTGCGGCTCACCATTGTTGCATCAGCATAGCGGTCAGAAAAAAATACCTGTTGTAAAGCAGCTTCCAGCATTTATGATACGAAATGGATCGGACTGAGCTCATACGGCCGTTTAACCGAGCTATTCGCGCGCCCCATATATTCCACACGCTCTCCGCCCACTTTCCGTCGTCTGCTGCAAATGTGCATGCACCAATTCCGCTAGATAAGCCTTAATCCATCATAATTGTCAGGCGCACAACTTCACACACTTTCGAGAAATTGTACAAGATGTATCTTCCTAGCAATTGCCTCATCATCTAGATTCTTAATCCTAATAGGAGTTGAACTGTGCAAGAAATACATGTAACATTTGTTTCGTTATTGGTTTTTTGCAATCACGTGGCCAATTCAGTGCACGGAAGACATACATGGCGCTCTGCAGACTTACCAGCTTTGGGAGATGCTCCTTGCTTTCGTGTATAGTCCTGTATTGTGACCATCTCACGGAGGGCGTAGAGTTTGTTCTCGCATTTGCACATTTTCTCACGAGCAGTAACCCTTCGAACAGGCTACGCACCCGACCCGCCGCGGCGTTCGCCATGTCGAGGACTGAGCGGTGCCCACGAAAATTTTCGCCACATGATCGTTTGAGAAGCTGTCGGTAGATGTCACTAGCTACTATGGGCATGTATAGAAATATTCGATTTTCAGTATGCAGAAAAAATGCGTCAAATACCGATTTTATATGAGCATAAATTTATTTTTTTGCAGACTGAAATGATGTTTGAGATGGTTTGACTTGTCTAGCATCAAAATATGAAGTATAAAATATTTATTTTTAATAGTTGTTGATGATTTTTCTGAAGTACATATATGGCTAATAAGTGATATGAAATGGCGCTATTAGGCGCTGGCTCTGGAAACGCGTGTTTACGGCTTGTTAATAACGTTTTTCTGAGAAAAAGAAAACGTGTTGCGGGTCGATAGTGAAGTCACGTTGCGTTTGGAGTTCGTATTGTATTTGGTGGTAAATCTTTGTGAAATCTGATTGTGTTCTTGGATAATGTCTTTTCGAACCATGGCGTCAATTTTAATGCAGTGTGAAAGATTTGTGGATTCTGTTGCGGTCTTCATTTTTAAAAATCTAACGAGTAAGTGCCGTAATTCCCTGCGTTCTTTTTTTCAAACCGGCAGTTGCATGCATTCATCATTCTGTAGCTTTAAATAGAATGAGATATGCTTGGTTCAAGTTAAGTTTGGTTATTAACCAGCATGCACAATACTGCACATTTTGACAAGACCTTGTTGAAACGGAGTTGGGGCAACAATTATTATTTGGGGCGAGTCTTGGAAATTGTTGGGCAGGAAGTCCTCAATTTGGGTTCGTGACATTGCTCTGGAGCAGCTGGTGGAAGCTTGGAATATGTCTTGAGGAGGGTCAGAGACCACAGAAACCACAAAATGTACTGAGATGCACAAAATAAAGCATTGGTAATTGAAATAGGCAGAAGTTGCCCTAAGACTGAATGTTCCGCATTTGTCAGGTTTTCAACTGCTGTCATGCTCTTAGGCATGTCTTTGTTAAACTTACTGCACAAGATTGTTTCTATTGTAGTTGTGTTAAGCATATGGCATGGTAGTGATAGCATGAGAAAATTGAGGTACATCTCTAATGTCATGTGGATCAGCACAAATCTCATAAATTACTCATAAATGATTAAAGCTGATCTTAAGTATGTGCATTCTGTTATGCTTGAACTCCTAAAAACATTATTAGAAAGTTATGTAGAGCAGTGTTAGTGTATGTTACAAGGAATCCTTTAGTTTATATGATTTTGGACCAAAATAGCCATCTTGAAGATCAGTTGGTGTGGTCCACAGCCATGCTATTATTAAAACCTGAACACTTCTAGCTTCTGAGCTCCGTGTCTGTGAAGAGGAGCATAATATTTTAGGTGATACTTATTTAGGGTTCCCAAGCATCCATGATGCCATGAAAAGTCACTTAAATCCTGAGATTTGGTCATCAATGCAGTGGTGATAAAGGACAAGGAATATATGTGTGTGTGTGTATATATGTATATATATATATATATATATATATATATATATATATATATATATATATATATATATATATATATATATATATATATATATATATATATATATATATATATATATATATATGATTGTTGAGTTGTCATATCCCATATGGGTTAGCTCATTTCATCATATCTGATGCTTGTTTTGATGTCTTTCAATGTGAAGCATTTCATTTGATTGCTGTATGGATTGAGAATGTACCCATGTGTATGAACATATTATGATTATTTGTGAACTGGAATGTCATGATATGTGGTAAGAGCAGCTTCCTAAAGCTTACATTAGTTGCATCTTCAAAAGTTTTTATTGTTAATTTTGGAAACCACATCTGTTAACTGTTTTCTGCAAGAGGAAGTGAAAGTGGCTTGCTTGATAGTAAGGCCTCAGATGCTTTTCATTTGACTTGGTTTGTGATATGCCTAATTTGTAGCATATGTCAATATTCAACTAAAAAGGAAAGATGGAATTAATTATAAATTACTGGGGTGCCACAATGATGGCAAAAAAGGAAATGAAAACCTATGAATAGATAAATGGCCGACACCCTGAGACTTAATATTGTTCACCTCAATCACCATTTTGCAAAGCAGCCTTCATGAACTAACTTTGTGATTGAAGACTGAAACAGTTGTATTGTGCAGAAATAAACTAAAAAATGGACTCCCCACACCAACATAACTACTAACTTACTGGTGAGCAAATGATTTAGACTGGTGCACTAATCTGTGGACACCAGAAGATGCCGTGACTTGTTTAGATAATGAAGGCCATTTAAGAATGCTTTGGTATTTTACCAGCATGGCTAAAAGCATCAAACTGATGATTTCTTATGTCTTGTGAAATTGCATTTGTAACATTGCATCCAGCAACTACCAGTCAGCTTCACATGGACTTCACATGGAATTCACATGTTTATTGGTCATGGGAAACTGTTTTGTTATTTGCATAAAGTGTTTTTTATTTATTTGTAGAATGGTTTACAGAACATACCTTTTTATTCATTTGTATGATATTCAAGTTTGAAACAATCTTGCAGGTTATAGATATAGTGCTGATCTACTTAGCATTATGCTTGATTGGCAAAGAATTGCCCCATGTTATGAATAATTTTTGGCTATGTAAAACATGAGTAAGGATATGTGGTATTTTCTACTTCAATATTGTGATATTGTTTCTTTGCTGCTTGCCATCCTTGCCCTGTTCTGTAATACAGTCCTGAACCATCCATTTGGCAAAGGTAAGAGAATGCAGGGCTTGCTTATTTCTCCCCAAAAAGTTGTTTGTCTGTCCTGACCAAATAATTGGCAGTTAGCTGGAAGGCATCTGTGAAGGGTCAGTTGGTTATTGGGCTAGAGCATGCTGCTTCTTTGCATGGCTTGAGTGTGGTCTTCTGTTATCCCAGCTGGCAAAAAGGCTGGACACATAGTTTCCCATTGAATGGGGGTGCGACAATAAATATTGTGGCGTCCAGGTATATACAAGAAGCTCTCCTAGTGTGTACTCTATACTTGTACCTACAATGGGTAAGCATGCCACACAAGCATACAAAGTGTTCAGAAAATACATTTGAAGGTGTATTCATAGCCCACATTTATGAAAGTTATGCATAACACATATGACACTGATTCAACACGCAATGCTGCGTCCGAAGTGCCGTGATTGCAGTTCTGCACAATAACTGATCGCGTCGTGCCCTCAGACGGCTTCGGGCCGCCGGCGGCGCTCGCCGTGGCAGGTGGCGCTGCGTGGCGGCCGCCGGTGCTGCCACCTGCCGAGGCCGACGACGGCCTGCTGTGGGCGGTGCCAAAGCACCGCCGCACTGTGGAGCGTCGCACCACGCGCCGCTTTGGCGCCGAGAACTGGCCCAACGGACGCAAGTTGATACAGCCCAAGCGCGGCCTGTTACTGTGTTTCAAGTGCGGTGGCCACCACCTCCCCGGCATGCTGTGCAGTGAGTGGCTCCCTGCCTCCTTTGGACCCCTGAAAGTGCTTCACTTTCGGTTGTTGGCTACATAGCCAGGACTGATATGCCTGATTTATTTGGATACACCAGAGGTGCTGTGTACAGCATAGTTTCATCGCACTTTGGCTTCGATTGGCAGAAACATTCACAAGCGCTACTGCCGCGTGCTTGCCGACCCAGCCCTCGGGCCTAGAGCCGCGCTCCGCCTGCTGGCCCCGCTAACGCCGCCGTCCGCGCCGCCAGTGACCTGCTACAGTCGCGTGATGGAGGAGACGCGCGAGATGCAACGCGCCGTGGCCGCCGACCAGGGCCTGCAGCCGCCCGACCGCGAGGTGGCGGTGGTGTACCGGGGCGAGCGCGAGACAGTCGACGAGCAGCGGGCGCAGGTGAGACACCGGCACGTCAGCAAGGCTGGCACCGGAACATCAGTCACAGGCAACGCCATGTGACGGCTGCGTTGTGGCGGCTCATCATGCTCTGCATACAGTCTGTGGTGCTCTGTTTCGGAATAGCGCTGATAAATGACATGCTAATGTTGTGGCACACATGGCTTAGACGTATGAAGTGAGCACTGTAAAGACCAGAGCACTTGGCTTTGCTTTCTGCGTACCTTTTGACCCATCCGCAAGGGCCCCTAGCCAGGGAGTAATGTGCAGTGTTCTATATGATACCTAGTGCGTCGCACGCCATCTGTGGCATGTGATGGCTTCAGGATCCATGAGTTCTCAAGACGGCCGCCGTCTTTGTGTCGACGTTGGTTTACACATGAGGCCATTTTGTGCCACAGATCAACGCGGATTTAATTTGACTTGCGCATGTTTTCACTATAGATAGTTTAAAGTTTAGTGTATTTGCAAAAGCAGTGAGTTTTGACTGGCTTTGGTGAGGAGTGTAGGAAATAGCCCCCCGTTGTCCAGCGCGGTCTGCCGCCTGTCGCTGATGTGGTACTCTCTGTGTGCAGACGGTGCGGCTGGTGGAGCTACCCAAGGAACGGCCGCAGTGGTTCAGTAAGAACCTCTCGCAGAAGGTGACGCCGCCGCCGGTCGAGACGGCGGCCGTCAAGCCCTCGGACCTGGGCTGAGAGAGCGGGCGCTGCCGCGACTCTGGCCGACCAGCGGCCGTCTGATCCCGGCCTGATCCGCGCAGGCGGCGGTGCGGGGTCGCATCCACGGGCCGGAGCGAGAGATAAGGGCGTGGTGGCACCCGCTTGGCTGCCTCAGCCCGGCCCGCCGCGTGCCGTCTGGTGCTCGTAGTTGGTGTGTGACCGTGTCCACTGGCCCGGGATCAGACGAGGCGAGGGGCGAGAGGTTCGCTGTGTATGCAGGACGACGCTAAGAAGGCGTTCGGAATTGGTGATGTGAGTTAGGAGAGCAGTGATTGGCTAGTGTGAGTTAGCTTTGCTGAATGGTCGTGCTGTGTTAATAAAGGCTTACCTTTGTAACGTCGTGGTTTTCCCTGATTGTAACATGTCGACTGGTCGCTCAAAATCTTTAGAATGGAAGCGATGTCACAAGAATAAGTAAACCGTTTCATGAGGACTTCAGCGAAATGAATCCTTATGGGATTAGGCCTACCGAACATTGCTTTAGATCCAGATACACGAAAGCCTGCAACATTTGTTTCTCACAGGTACAGCTTTTTCATCGCGGGAGTTCGCCCTTTATAGCGTAATGATTCCATGAGTGTTAGCCATATTATTGGCAGAACGGTTGCACGCTTTCAACAAAAATGAAACCCACTCGGTAACAGCATTGCCCTTTTCGTGACCTTCCTTCGTGACGCTACGAAGTAAAACACTACTCGCGATTACTTGGAGCTGCAGTGCCACCGGCGATAGTGTAGAGGGATGACGAAAGGTGTTTTCAATTATGCTGGTGTTGTGACGCATGATGTTACGGCCAAGGGTATAGCACCCAAGTGTCAGTCAGCTTTGTCGTCCGCGATTTGTCGGGTTCGAAAACCTTTATGAATGTTCGTTGTTCTAGGACATGTAAAATTAGTTGACAGCCTAGCAGGTGCAGTCACTGCGCCCGGCGAACCACGTGTTACTCGACTCAGTGCCACAAACGCCGCATTTTTCATTGGCACATGCAGAACCAGTTTTGCAAAATCAAGCCTTCGTGTGCAGTAATTGAGGAACATTGGCGGGTCGTGATCAACATGCGATTGTTTTGTAACGTGCCCGCAGCCCGCCATCACGAGAAACGGGGGGTGGAACTGACCAAAAGACAGCGGCTTACGCCTTCTCTTATCTCGTGCGTTCACCCAGCGATGGTGTTTGTTCACTTAAAGAAAGCGATTCGCATATCAAAGATGTATTCTTGCGGAAATGAACACATCCGACTGTCTTGTCTTGGTGCCGCACCGTCCGCTGTCCCTGTTGTTGAGAGCGTAAGTAGCAAAAAGAAGGCAGCACGTTCTGATCTGAGACAATTTGTTGTAAGCCACTCTTTGAAAAGCGAAGCACGTCGTGAAATCGGTAGCCCGTGAGATGTAATTTGACGGCGTTCTCAGGCCTTTCCAACTTATCCAGTACCCTTGCTCTCGTTGTGACGCACGCGTCTGGTTTTATGGGTACTTGAAGTGAATTCCACGGCCTGGTCCGGATGACAGCAAACATCCTGCTTACTGGAAGTGTTCACCAATGACTAGATTTGCAAATGGGTACGTACTAAACAGATAACCCCGCCATGCCACGCCATTCATTGTTAGCACAGCCATAAAAAGCAGCCTTGGTAGATCTGCACGCATACTTGTCTCAAGCGGAGCCTCACGAAGGCGGGCAAATCGCGAACACAACAAAGAGATCTTAATAGAAATGCAGAGATCAGCACTTGGCGGCTTAGTACTCCTCCCCTTCGCCCTCGGCTTCGGCCGAGTCCACTCCGACCTCCTCGTAGTCCTTCTCCAGAGCGGCCAGATCCTCGCGCGCCTCGGAGAACTCGCCCTCCTCCATGCCCTCGCCGACGTACCAGTGCACGAAGGCGCGCTTGGCGTACATCAGGTCGAACTTGTGGTCGAGGCGGGCCCAGGCCTCGGCGATGGCGGTGGTGTTGGAGAGCATGCAGACGGCGCGCTGCACCTTGGCCAGGTCGCCGCCGGGCACCACCGTCGGCGGCTGGTAGTTAATGCCTACCTTGAAGCCGGTCGGGCACCAGTCGACGAACTGGATGGTGCGCTTGGTCTTGATGGCAGCGATGGCGGCGTTGACGTCCTTGGGCACGACGTCGCCGCGGTACAGCATGCAGCAAGCCATGTATTTGCCGTGGCGTGGGTCGCACTTGACCATCTGGTTGGCCGGCTCGAAGCAGGCGTTGGTGATCTCGCTCACAGACAGCTGCTCGTGGTAGGCCTTCTCGGCCGAGATGACCGGCGCGTAGGTGGCCAGCGGGAAGTGGATGCGCGGGTACGGCACCAGGTTGGTCTGGAACTCGGTCAGGTCAACGTTGAGGGCGCCGTCGAAGCGGAGCGAGGCGGTGATGGAGGAGACGATCTGGCCGATCAGCCGGTTCAGGTTCGTGTACGACGGACGCTCGATGTCCAGGTTACGGCGGCAGATGTCGTAGATGGCCTCGTTGTCGACCATGAAGGCGCAGTCCGAGTGCTCCAGCGTGGTGTGAGTGGTCAGGATCGAGTTGTAGGGCTCGACCACGGCCGTGGCGATCTGTGGCGCCGGGTAGATGGCGAACTCGAGCTTCGACTTCTTGCCGTAGTCGACGCTGAGCCGCTCCATCAGCAGCGAGGTGAAGCCAGAGCCGGTGCCGCCGCCGAACGAGTGGAAGATCAGGAAGCCCTGCAGACCTGAGTGAAAGGAAATGACGATCGATTCACATCTGCTTGATTCTTAGGGTCCACTCGTTTCATCGGTAACGACACAAGCATGTTAACCCAGCTCTTGCGTAAGTCCAAAGCTTTCGTTTAAGTCCGATTAGCATGAACGGCCTACAGCAATGCAAAATTTGTGTCGTCCTGACAGCAGCACATTGCAGACGAACCTACAGTTTCAGATCACTCCTCCCTCTCACATAAGCCAATTTCATCTCGAGGTGGCCAGTGCAGGCGATTCTTCGGTAGCTCCCTGACATCGGTTTTTTGCGGTCGAACACTCACCCGTGCACTGGTCCGCCAGCTTTCTGATCCGATCCAGAACGATATCCACGATCTCCTTGCCGATGGTGTAGTGGCCTCGTGCGTAGTTGTTGGCCGCGTCCTCCTTGCCCGTAATCAGCTGTTCAGGGTGAAATAGCTGCCTGTAGGTGCCCGTGCGGATCTCGTCTGCGGAACCGTCATCCGTTTACTCTTCGGCTGGATGGTAGAACGCACACAGACCATGGACTTCGGCTCGGGTCGCAGCGCATTATTTCTAGTACTCAAACAAACACGCATCGACCGTAGCGTTGGAGTACACAATAACCAGTAACCTGTCCCAAAGGACCACAGCTCAATACTTGCCGATAGTGAGGATCTAGGCCGCAATTTTGCTCGCACAATCGCACACACCCTTTGCGCACGGTTCCTGGACAAAGCAACTAATCCGCCAGTGGCGACAAAGTACGCGTTCACGGATTTCGAGGCCACAACAACCCCTCTCTCATATAACAGCGAAGTACACACCACTCCCAGAGGGCTCCGGGCTGGCCGTCTCCCGAGGGACAACAGAGCACTGGTCGATGACTCTCAGAACAGTCGATAAACTTGTCGATAACTCAGAACTTCGCAGCCCTCTCCCAAGGAACAGCGTAGCACTTACCTATCACGGAAGGCTCTAAGTCGACAAACACGGCGCGCGGCACATGCTTGCCAGCGCCGGTCTCGGCGAAGAAGGTGTTGAAGCTGTCGTCACCTCCGCCGATGGTTTTGTCGGAGGGCATCTGGCCGTCCGGCTGGATGCCGTGCTCGAGGCAGTAGAGCTCCCAGCAGGCGTTGCCCATCTGGCAGCCCGCCTGGCCCACGTGGACGGAGATGCATTCGCGCTGCCGGACAGATAGCACGTCGTTAAGAGGTGCAAGCATCCATTGGCATCGTGGTTCAGTTGAATGGCTGAGAACATGGGCTGTTCAGCCCTAGCACACTGGTGAGGGACAGCCAGCACTGTTCTGCAGAAACTGCGCTATGAATCTAATGCATGTTACGCAGTCGTGTCAGCCCAAACTTCACGCCCATCTGCCGTACCTCGAGAGCGAGGGACGCTCAGCTAGCGCCTGTCAGCTGACCTTTGAACGTTGACGGAGCTAAGCAATTCAGAGGATGAGCTCAGTCACCCTCGTAATGACAGCCTGTATTCTCGCACAACCATTCTTCCAGAACGCGGCAATTTCAAAAGCAACTTTGCCCGAAAACAATCTGCAAATGGACTCCATGCCAATCTCCATAGCTTGTTGATCCGAGCTTGTATTCAGGTTGCCGGGTGCATGGCTGCGAGGCATTGCATGCAGTTCGGAGCGAAACCCGGTAGGTGCCTACTGGCTACTGGCGTAGGCTTTATGCCACGAGCTCCAGGGCGCTGCAAGCACTCGTGATTACCGGATGTCAGGCATACAGTCATGGGCCACGTGACCACCGCCCCACTGGGAGTGCATTGGCATCTCGGTTTCCGACCAGTTGGTTGCCTGTTTAGTCCAATGCATTCTCATCTTCTTGCCACGTCCAGCCGCCATCACCTCGGAGTAGCATTCACGCAACTATCTCAACCCCGCATCCCCATCGCCTGCTCCCCGTGCCGACCCCTCCCGCTCCGTTGGCCGCCCGCCTCGGCGCCCTGGGTCCGCCCGTCGCGCCGCGCGCAGCCATGCCCGCCGGGACCGGCGCCGGCGGCCGTCCAGGGCTGGCGGGGCGTCGCCGTGACCAGCTGCCGGCCGTATTGATCTGACGGCGTGACTCAGGTCCGGTCGATGCCGGCTGTCGCTGACGCGGCTGGGACGGGCGGCGCCCGGCCATGGACCGCTGTCTGGCGCTACGCCGGCCGGCCGGCCAACAACGGCGAGTCGGAGGGTCGGGGCCTCTGGCGGGGCCGACGGTCGGGAGGCTGTGACAGGGGCTGTCTGACGGGGACCTGAAGCAGCACCTCAGCCCACTCGCGGGGCCTTTGGCGGGGCCGAGGGTCAGGAGACTGTGACGGGGGCTGTCTGGTGGGGATCTGAAGCAGCACCTCAGCCCACTCGCGGGGCCTTTGGCGGGGCCGAGGGTCAGGAGACTGTGACAGGGGCTGTCTGGCGGGGACCTGAAGCGGCACCTCAGCCCACTCGCGGGGCCTCTGGCGGGGCCGACGGTCAGGAGACTGTGACGGGGGCTGTCTGGTGGGGATCTGAAGCAGCACCTCTGGCCACTCGCGGGGCCTTTGGCGGGCCTGACGGTCAGGAGACTGTGACAGGGGCGGTCTGGCAAGGGTTATGAAGTGGCATCTCCGGACACTCGGGGTGGGACGGGGGGGGGGGGTCTCTGGCGGGGCTGACAGCCAGAATACTGTGACAGGGGCCACCGGGCGGGTGATCTCAGCCGACACCTTTGGCCAGACAGCCATGGCCAGAGAGCCATGCTGATACAGCGATCGACAGACTCGGATAGTTACAGCCGTCTACGAGTATCTGACCGCGGACACAGTTCATGCATGCATGACAGATTATCCCGACAAGGATCATCGAGCAACGGTCCGTTTCAGCGCCCTTGCGGTATGGACCGCTTATCGAAGGACTCAAGGACAGTGACCGCTCATCGGCGATTTTCGGAACACGGCTCTCTGAACCAGCCATTACCGGCCAGAGTCACAGCATTTTCTGTTGGACAGGCCGTGGACGGCGATCGCTTTCTCGCCAGCCCTGCTCACGGGCCGTGGTTCAGGTGAGACTAGTGGATCAGGCTGACAGCGACCACTGTATGGGGCACCCCCAAGCAGTCGCTGGTCCTTGGGTAGCACAGCGTGCTGCCAGCCTGCGTCTCGCTTCGTCAGTGCGCAAGCAGGAGCGCGGCGACATGGCTCGTTTATGGGATACAGACGCCTTCAGCACGCCACTGGTATGGATTACCATGCCAGCTTGTACCATCGTGTAAAACGCGCTTTCTGTTTCCCTTTGTCTTCACAGCATTTCAGAGTAAAAAACTATCTCCCGTCTTCTCAACGTTTCAGGCTTCTAGACTCAAGCATGGTCGATAGTTGTTCACATTAGCGGCCGCGCACCTCGTAGCAGCTATAAAACCGCGCGTCGATCAATAAGCCATCTGCACCGTCCCCGTCGCCGAGGGAACAGAACGGAGACTGAAACCCTCGAGGCCGTGAGGTTTGGATCCCAGAGAGCGCAGCCTGCTCTGACAAGTCATAGACTGCGGTGAACTGAAAGGCGATCAGAGAGCGAAGATTTGACAAAGGACGTCCGTGGCATACACAGCATTACACCGCGGGAGACAGTCAAGGGGGAAAGCCCCTAGGCCAGGGTTTTTCCTTGTTCGCCATGCCTGGCTCCTGATGCAAAGTGAGCCGGCGCGATGCGCACCCCCTGATCTTCCTTCCCCTCCCTTCCCTCAAACGACCCTGGCTGCTCCCCTGATTGTATCACACACAGACCCAGCCGCGGTGCCGCTTGACAGAAACGCTACCGGCAAAACTGTTAGTTGAAGTTGAGTGACGGGACTTTGGCGGTGGGTGCAGGGCACAAGGAACGAGCTCCGCTTCTCAGCATGCACTCCGAGCCCAACTTTATCCATGCAAAACAGCCGGAAGAAGTAGCAAATAAACTTACGTTGCCCTTGTATCCCATTTTACGAGCGTAAGCAGCGCTTGGATTGGTTACGTCTGGGACTTAGTGTTACTCTGGCTGGCTCGCGATCACAACTGGCCTGAGCCACACCCGTCACGAGCACCGTCTATGGCCAATTGCCGCCGCGCTCGGTGTTTTTCCGGCCAGCCAGGGCACGGTATCGACTCGGTACTCCGATGAAATCTGTATGAGCTGTTGGTGAGAACAATGCACGTGATCGGGGTCGGTTTTTACAGCTAACCGATAAAAGCCTGATAGCTATCAAAAGCTGACGGGTTTCTTACTCCAAGGGCCTTGGTTTCAAAAGACCGGTAACCGATGGCCAGTGTAGGACAACGCGGTTGCTAACATGTGCCCACCGACGCCCGGCTGCAGCATGTGACGCGAGTTATAGGATCTCGTGTGCTGGTCATGAAAGGATCCTCTGTCATTGTGCTTTATATTTTTCTATTTCCGCTGCATTTTGGTCGTTCTGCCTCTGACGTGCTTAATGTGTGCCTATGTCCATCGAGGGATCTCTTGTGTGATCGACGAAGAGGTGATGTGTGTCCGTTGAGGGAGGTCCTGTGTGTCCGTTGAGGGTTGTGTGTTCGTCAAGGGAGCTCTTGTGTGTCCGTCGAGGGAGCTCTTGTGTGATCGTCAATGGGTTCTGTGCGTCTGTTGAGGAAGGTCCTGTGTGCCCGTCCAAGGAGGTCCCGTGTGTCCGTCGGAAGGTACTGTGTGTCCGTCCAAGGAGGTCCCGTGTGTCCGTCGGAAGGTACTGTGTGTCCGTCGGTCCTGCGTGTCCGTCGAGGGGTCCTGTGTGTCCGTCGAGAGGTCCTGTGTGTTCGTCGAAGGGTTCCGTGTGTCTGTCGTGGGGTCTTGCGTGTCCGTCGAGGAGTCCTGTGTGTCTGTCGAGAGGTCCTGTGTGTTCGTCGAAGGGTTCCGTGTGTCTGTCGTGGGGGTCTTGCGTGTCCGTCGAGGAGTCCTGTGTGTCCGTCGAGGGGTCCTGTGTGTTCGTCGAGGGGCACTGTGCGCTCGTCCACGGGGTTCTGTGTTCGTCGAGGAAGCTCTTGTGTGTCCGTCAAGGGGGTCTTGTGCGTCCGTTGAGGGAGGTCCTGTGAGTCCGTCGCAGGGCCCTGTATGTCCGTCGGAGGGCCCTGTATGTCCGCCGAGGGAGGCTCTGTGTGCCCATAGAGGAAGGCCCTGTGTGTCCGTCGGCTTCCATGGCTCCCCGTACACAGACCCTTTTGTTCGCGTGATTAACGGTCACCTGTCCAGGTACTGGTCCGTTTACTGACCTTGTCAGTTTTCAAGACGCCCCGCTAACAGCCCCGTGTTTTACTGTCGTGCAGCTCCTTTTTGTGTCCGTCAGCAGGACATAAACGACCTACCCAGTCACTTACCCATTTCTCCGACGCATGTCTTTAGTTAGTTCTTTTTTCTTCAGCCGGCTACAGCCCTCGTGTGCATTTGACAACCGACCGTGATATCAACTTGTGTTCGTATGAAGGCAAATGCAGTGCTGCTAACTGAATTGTACACTCACACTTACTGGGAAGTGTGCAGAGCTTCATCCTGTTATACTCTTCAGGTCGTCGGTGTATGCGGTGAGTGTTTCCGTTTCCGTCCCTGTCCCCTCCCCCCCCCCCCCCCTGCTGAACTGGCTGCATGCTCGTGTTTTTCCTACTTCCATCTTTGCTGGGCCGCTGGGCCCGTCTTTCGTTATGTCTTGTCGCGCCCTTTCGGCAGCTTGTCAGATAGCTTGTCCGGGTGATTCGTTCCACAGCAACTTTCGCTGTTGGGTTTATTGCTGCGCAACCTACTGCGCTTTTTATCTGCTGCAGCATTGGCTGCTCATCCAAATTTTACCACTTTTGCTCACACTGCCTGGTTAACGCGTTGCTGCGCAACTTCGTAGTGCACGGTGTCAGAGGTGATGGTGCTAATTTCGTGTTTCCCACTATGGCCACACCGTGCGTCACCGTGAACAAGGATGCCGTATCGTGACGGATGTTTATGTCGATGCCGGGAATTGGTCGTGTTAACTGCTACGAATTGATGGGATGTCCTCATTCTTGTCGTGACTTTCCTCACTCAGACAAGTCAAAACTAGAAACGCAGGCTTTGTGTGCTAACTTTGGCTCGTAATCCCTCCAAAATCCATATAGCTGAGGTCGCATTTTGTACGTAGATCATGTTTGATGGCCGGTCCCTGCACGTATTCGGCCTTGATGGCTGATTAAGTGATAGGGGAATGGTTGTTAACCATGGCGTGGCATCCAGTTATGATTTCGATATCTATTTCCAAGTATGAGCCTGTTGCCACCGCAGCCAATCTAAACTTTTAACGATCGCCTTTTTGCTGATTGCACCCATGCTCCTTACATAATCTATGATAACAAAATAATATTCTACAGGGCGTTTATTACTACCTGAGTCATAGTCTTTAAAGAAAATTTTGTCATAGGTGAAGAAATTGCACAAATCTCTAGACCAACGTTAATTGACTTCATCTATGCATGATGCAGCTTCATCTTGACAAAATATTCGTATATGCACGTTATTCACGTTAATCCCAGGTTGTTCAAATACCTTTAACAGGCCATCCCGAAGGGAGACTCCAAGAACGTGTGAGCTTTCAGACAGGAAAACTTTGACGGATGAGCCCTTCGCCCTCGTACATTTGAATATCATTGAACATTTAAACACATCTTCGTGAACATCTTTGCCTGGTTTATTATATGAAACTGCTCAGGCGCAGATCTAAATAAAACACTTGAGTCCATGTCCGAGTCCGACGTCACATCCAAGCCCAAGTCTGATCCAGCCGAACTTAACAGAAACCTTTCGAACTAGCGTGCACCACCCGACCCGCACGCCACCAAATGCGTGCAGAGATATTAGCGCGCTTATTTGTTCTGCATGGTACTGAAACTACCTTTCTCGAGTTAAGCGTTCTGCAGGTGAAATGTGTACTTAAACCACAGTTCGATCACGGGGTGCAGTGTTTGCCTAAGATCGATCAGGACACTCGGCCGTCGGTCATCGGACGGCACCACAAGACCGGTCAGGACACTCTGCCGTCAGTCATCGAACGGCACCACAGGACCGGTCAGGACACTCTGCTGTCGGTCATCGGACGGCACCACAAGACCGGTCAGGACACTCGACCGTCGGTCATCGGGCGGCACCACAAAACCGGTCAGGACACTCTGCTGTCGGTCATCGGATGGCACCACAAAACCGGTCAGGACACTCTGCTGTCCGTCATCGGATGGCACCACAAGACCGGTCAGGACACCCTGCTGTCAGTCATCGGACGGCACCACAAGACCGGTCAGGACACTCGGCCGTCGGTCATCGAAAGGCACCACAAGACCGGTCAGGACACTCTGCTGTCAGTCATCGGACGGCACCACAAGACCGGTCAGGACACTCGGCCGTCGGTCATCGGACGGCACCACAAGATCGGTCAGGACACTCGGCCTTCGGTCATCGGATGGCACCACAAGACCGGTCAGGACACTCGGCCGTCGGTCATCGGATGGCACCACAAGACCGGTCAGGACACTCTGCTGTCGGTCATCGGACAGCACCACAAGACCGGCCAGGACACTCTGCCGTCGGTCATCGGACGGCATCACAAGACCGGTCAGGACACTCTGCTGTCGGTCGTCGGGCGACACCACAAGACCGGTCAGGGCACCCGGCCGTCGGTCATCGGGCAGCGGTCAGGACACTCGGTCGTCGGTCATCGGACGGCACCACAAGACCGGTCAGGACACTCGGCCGTCGGTCATCGAGAGGCACCACAAGACCGGTCAGGACACTCGGCTGTCCGTCATCGGATGGCACCACAAGACCGGTCAGGACACTCTGCTGTCCGTCATCGGATGGCACCACAAAACCGGTCAGGACACCCGGCTGTCAGTCATCGAGAGGTGCCGAAGGCGAGTCATCTCTACATTTCCGGCAAGTCGACATTTTTGCCGAAGCAAGAGTTAATTTGTCTGGCGCATTCATAAAAAAGGAGCCTGTACATTTCCTTGGTACTGGTTTGTCTGCAATGACCCGTTCTTTCGTGTCAACGGTGGAGGTTGCCACATTGCTGCGAAATACCGAGGGCTGTTTTCTGATTTCACCAACTTAATGTAGAGCTCTACTAAATTTGGCGTATGCATATACGCTGGGTTACCTGTTGAATAGTCAAAAAACGGTTCCTGGGCGTACAGTCCATAGGCGGCACTTTGTATGGAGTCGGTGTAGAAAATTGCGCACCATCTTGGAAGTTGGCGTGGAAAATAGACATCAAAGTCGATAAACGCCTGCTTTTTATTATTAACGTCACGTTCTGCAATACATTTGCAGCCCTGCAGCATAGCATAAGTTGCAAGGAGCATGAAAGTATATTTATACGTTTGTGTGTCGGTTTGTGATGTACTAAACAATAAGACAAACCAAATAATTGCAGATCTTACACTTCATACAGCAATTTACGTCACAAACCAGAAGAAATGTGTTTTGCTAGTGGACACCTCTGTTTTCAGGTGAAAATATCATGAAACGTCATTCAGGCTAAATAATTGAGGCACCTAGAGATTGGTGTGAATTTTACATCGGTACGCACACCAACCGTACAACGCACATCTTGGGTCGGTGAAAAGTCCACACCAACTTCAACATGACACGATAAACGACAAACATTCGCAACTTCAGTGAGAATTTCGTGGATTTTTCCTTAGCCATTACGCAGATGCGCATCTTTGAAGGCAAAGAAACCTGACTCGCAGCCCAGGCTTCCGGGATCGTCATGTACGAGTCTAACACGAGTCCTTTCACACTGAGTCCGTTTCATTGATATGCCCTAGTCTGGTTAATCTGTAACATACATTAAGTTATAACACGCGCCCGGGTGGCCGGCTAGATACCCTTTCCTCGGGTGGGGATCAGTTTACGTCCCCCCGCCGAGATCTCAGAAACTCAGAAAGATAGAGACGCCAAATTTACAGGGTATGTTGAACTGTACGTGAACTCACTTAGATTAAAGTTTGAGGTTCCTAGGTAATGGCTTTCAGGTCAAATAAGGTCAAACAAGGTCAAATC